AATTCACAGCTGAGTGACCCCCTGTGCACCCTCTGTTGTAAAACAAAACATTTTCTTTAAAGCAATCTCAGGCCGGATTCCAAAAAGGAAAAGTCTACCAGTCAGATATTGTACATACCAACTGCCACAAACATGCTTGAAACACACAGAAACTTAGAAAAAAATGAGAAAGAGAGGGCTCACTGCTACACAGCAGCTTCTAAAAAATGCTGCCAGAAGTACTAGTTTAATAAGAGAAGCACCTTCTCAATGACTCAGACATCTTAATACTCCAAATTAGAAAAGGTAAAACATATTATTGTGTTTACATCAAAGGGCAAATGTCCAAAACAGAGTTCACAGAAAAACGTACATCACACAAATGTGCTGTGACTCATGGCTGCCTTAGTTTTTCAACAGGAGACTCAGCCAGTCCCCAAGGTGACTTCTGTGGCACCAGATCCACACAGCTCCTGGGTTCTCCATGTGTTCTGGGTCCCTTGAGAACACCACCACGTACCTGCCTGGATCCCAAGGAGACCAGACGTGTGTCTTTGCCAAAAGGACTTTTCTGCACCTCGCGCACAAACTGGGACAGCTGGGAGTGAGTGCGGCTGCAGTAGTAGATCTGCAGTGAAGAAGAACAAAGGGAAGACAAGAAGAACATGGAAGCCAACCCCTACCTGTGACCAACCCTATAAGGAAGCAGCCAAGCAACAAGGTTCACCTTGCTCAAACCTTCAAAAGCACAAGGGAAGGCACATGTTTGAATGTCATCTTAAAACTTCTGAGGCCAAAAGTCCCATCTTTGTTTTCTCCTCTGCATTTTCCTTTGTTTCCATGTAATTTTTCTAAGGTCTCTATAAAACAGGGACTCACCATGGGAGAGTAATAAAAAACTATTTATTGCTGCGTGCTTTTACAGCAAGCCACAGCAAAAACTAAGCAGTGCTAGCACAGCAAGCTGCTTAGGCAGGCAGTGTAGTGCAGGAGATGAGCACAGCAGAACTAGCTGTCTTTACCAACAAACCTGTCAGGTTTTGGAAGCTACTTCCTAAATCCTTCTGTACTGCCTAACTATTGGAAAGGTGCAAGGAAGCCATAGTTCTGCTTACTCCTACACTATTCTATGAAGTGGTACTATTTAATTTCCTCATCTCACCTTAGTCACATGCTCCTCTTCCAAATCATCATCATCTTCTTCTTCCAGCCTAAGAAAAGAGAAAGCTCAAATAGTTTCCTTTCAGCAGACCACCTTTCAGCATTTGATTCAGTAAGAATCAAATGATGCTCCACCACAAGAGTGAGGTCTCAAGAGAGATGATTAAGTCATCTCGAAAAGGGCCTCAGAACTCATCTCAGGTGGTAAAAGAAAAATTAACTTTTTAAGAACAGTGTAAATGTGTATAATCAAGTCAAGCCTTTCTCTTTAAAGGAAAAATCTTTCCTGGGCTGTGCCTCTTTTCAAAGTTCAAGATTCTTTTTGTTCAGGGGCCTCTAAGCCTCAGGCCTAAGCTAATTAGTGCTATACTATTCTTTGGTGAGCTTATTTATTTTTGTAAAGCTTTTCCATTAAAAGCAATTTACCACCCTGCAGATATTGAGTAAAGAAAGGCTTCAGGAAAGCATTCAGCTGCCATAGAGCTCCTCAAAGGCAATAGAGTTCAATGTTTGATAAACTAACTACATATAAAAAAAGAAGTGTTCTTCAATTTTTAAGAAAGAAGGATCTGTCTAGATACTAATTAGTAAATTTGCTACTTAAATGTGTTTGACTTTTTGTACTGAAGTATGGCTTTTGGCTTTCTGCATAAAGCAAATGCATGAGAGAGAAAAGTGTGCATGGGGTTTTCACGACAAAGCTCTGTCTTCAGAAATGTGAACATCTCTGCTTCAGAGTATCAAAAGATGCCAGTGCTAATCTGCAGAACTGACAGCTTCCTCTGGTGTCCTGAGTTCCATTCTGCTTTTCTAATGCAAGGAACTTGATCTCAAGTCATTCACTCAGCATCCAGAGGCACTCTTTGGGAAGCTGGGCATGGGTAAAGGCAGGACACTGCCACACATTTTAAGATGCACTTTCTCAGAAAACACTTCAATTCACTCAGATCAGTCTAACAAAAGTTTACAAAAAACCAAAACAAACCAAACTAAAATCCCCCCAAAACAACCAGTTAAATAAAACCCCAGAACAACCACCACCTTACACTGTCTGAACAGGTGAGAAACACTTTTCAATAAAATCTGCACATCTGCTTTAATCAGGACAAGACAAAAATTAGACAGAAGATGTTCCCTTAGCATGGAATCCCCTCAGCCCCTGTCCTTACCCAGATACCACCTTCTTTTCATCATCACTCTCATATTCAGCAAGAATCAGCTCCTCCTCGTTGTGATCCAGCTGGTCTAGACCACCCTCTCCAGCTCCCTGTGAAAGAGCCTCCTTGCTGAGCTGAAGAAGGCGCTTTGCCTCATCCTCCTCACATCTCTGGAAGAACACAAAGGCACAGTATTTCCTATATAAAAAGAGTAGCACAGGGGTTCTTTATGGCATGGACAGGTCAGAAGACAGCACAGTCTCTCCCAGAAGGCTGAAGCTGTTCAGCCCCACAGAAGGCAGCTGTTCCCAACAACCAAACACTTGCCCACACAGATGGTTATGGAGGGGAGACACAAAGGACCTTCTCTGCAAAAGGCCTGCTGAACTAATAGACCCTCAATGAAATGTTCATGTAAATCCAGTATTACTTGCTTAAAGTGGCCCATAAAAGATACCTGCCTGAGATTAAATAGTGTGTAAATAAACCTGAGCAAACATGTAAGGACATAATCAAACACTCTGTGCGCATTTAACTCAAAGCTCAGCATTGGGTTTAGAACAAGACTTCTCTTGCTGTTTTTTCTCCAGTAGTGTGACTGTTACTCTAACACAAGTCTAGCTCTCTACAAAAATTCAATTAAACTGTTGAAGAACAGTTTTCTGATTAACTTTTGTGTCACAACAAAGAAAAGTTCATTTTTTCCATCTCAAAACAGTATCTTCCAATGTCAATGAGTGTTTTACTACTATGGCATTATACAGAAAATGCAGTTAGCAAGCACTACAGAAAAGATGAATCAGTCACTTCCAAATCTCCATAATATTTCTCTCATGTGTTTTCTTGCTTTTCATCCTCTTTTAAGAGACAAGTTCTTTGTTCCATTTGTTTTTTATTTGCCATTCTTTACTATTCCTATCATATCCTTTTGACAGGAGTTGACCAAAACATTACAGAGTGTTTGAAATTGAGCACACTAGAAATTAATAGCCTGACAGCCTAATAAATCTGTCTATTTGGGGACCTGAGCTGAGTATTTCTGGGAAGTTTGACTCATATAATCAAAAAGCATCAGAAGCACTGAAGCCAGTTTATGCATCTAAATGAGAGGAAATATATCTGTGAACTTTAATACCATTTTTATTGCAGAAGTACAGACTGTTCACACATGCTCATAAAACAGAGATCTTCCCCAAAAAAGCCTCAGAAAATTAAAAGCTTTTAAAAGAAAAGCAGGGTCAGAAGGCAATCGGAACACACATCATTTCTGCCAACACACAAAAACCATCATAGCAAATTATCAATGCACAAATTGTTTTTCACATATGTACTTTTCAAAGAAATTATAACAAATAATTTCAGATGACCGATTTCAGAAACCTCATACAAAGAGCTCCTCAAACAGGTGGGTTGGAAAAGTCAGTGTGAAGTCACACATAAGAGAGTATGAACAACACTGAAGGTAACCAAAAGGGAAAGGTCTGATCTTTATGGAATAACTCACCTTCCTCTTTGCTGCGTATTTTAACTTCACATTGTGCCGAATTTTCTCAAGATTATCTTCTCGCTTTTTCCTTCTGATGTGTTCTTCCTACAAAAAAGGCAGAGCGTAGGCAGGCAGGATGAAGTGGATTTAGTCCTCAACCCTTGGTATTACTAGTTATGCTCTGGGCATAGAAAAACAAAATTGCCAGTACAGCAAGTGCTCGCCTACTGAGTGTTACTCCGCTCAAAGCACGATAGTTTCTTGTCCTGGGCAACCTGCAGGCAAAGACACACCACCACCAAACCTGGCCCACGTTTTTTCCATTCATTCCCCAGGATACAGGAACAGTTTGCCCAGAGAGGTGGTGGAGTTCTCTTCCCGGGAGATGCTAAAAAGCCTCCGGCTGGAGCAGAGAGGCTGTTCCAGGTGACCCCCGGGTCCCTTCCAGCCCCAGCCATTCTGTGCCTACACGGTATCAGCCCTCCCGACCCTTTCCTCCTTATTTCACGCGTCCTGCACACACGAACCTTCAGCCTGTTCACCCTGTCCCGCTCCTCTTTGCTGTGCACGAAGGCCGTGACCCAGTCCGGCTGTCCGGCCGTGTCCTGCTGCGGGGCCAGCCCGTCCTGCCCGAGGGCCAGCAGCCGCTCCTCCTCCTGCCGCCGCTGCTCCTGCCAGTCCCGGAGCCACGACAGGGCCCCGCAGATGAGGCTCAGCGATTTTCCCTGGCACGGAGAGCCAACACGGTGAAGAGCGCTGCCGCCACCGCCCGGCCCCAGCCTCGGCCCCGCCGCCTCACCGTGCCCGTGGGGCTCTCGAAGATGCCAACCCGGCCGGCCTCCAGAGCACCGTACAGCGCCTCCATGAACTGCTCCTGGATGCGGTACGGAGCGTAGGGGAACGGGAACCGGCCCGGTGCGGGGCCCGCCGCCGCCGCCCCGCTGTTCTCCATCCCGCCGTCCTCCGTCCCGCCGCTCTCCGTTCCCCCCCTCTCCATCCCGCTGTTCTCCATCCCGCTGTTCTCCATCCCGCCCCGCTTCGAACCGGGCACGGGCGCCGCCCCTTCCCGTGACGCGGCGGAAAAGCCGCCCCGCGTTCCCCTCTCCGCACAGACCCCCCCGCCTTGCCGAGCTCCAAACCCGCTCGCTCCTCTTTCCCATTCCCTCCCATCAACCGCAAGGACAGAAAATTGGATTACCGAGGAGAAAAAAAAAAAAAACGAAAAGGTTTTATTTAGGATGGAAACGCAGTGTAATAAAACATTGCAGTATAAAAGAGGTTTATGTAATACGCAGTCCTTAAATGCCGAACTGTTTATGTTAATACTCTGGAAACAACAGCGAGCTAAAGAAGAGTGCCATAAAAAGAACGAGACAATTGCAATCAGTCTCTGGACCAGTAGCGAGAACTCACCGTGTACCGGTTCAGACTAGGACATCTGGGGGCAAATCCTTTCTTTTTGGGTTAAATAATATAAAGCCACATTTTTATCCACGTTTTGTTGATGTCCCAAGTTGGAAGGAGTTTCAAATCAGCAACCACAAATCTGGGAGAACCTATAGACTGCCTTTCAACTGGAAGCGCTTCTGCATCCAGGTTTTCTGGGAACAGCCATTAGAGTTTTGTGTTACCTAGCTATCATGAGGTAGGAATTCTTTGTCCCATGTAAGATTTGGAAAAAAGACAGATTGAAGTTCAGCTCCAAAGTCTCACTCTGAAAAGATCTAGAAATGCCTTGTCAAACACTATGTAAACTTACTACAGTCATGAAAAATAAGGGAAGGTAATAGAAAGAAGAGTTCCTAAGTCTATTATAGCATCTAACAAGCCAAAGTTTTGAGTCAGAACCAACCTGGAACAATTTATTTTGACTTTCACGTTAGCTGTATTTTACAATTCTCCCAGTTATTATTCTAGCATATATTCACAGTACTCACTTACCCTGAAGCTGGTGCTCATTCCTCAGGCTCTTGGCACTCTTCCTAAACCCCCAGCACTCAACTCTTGGGACTAGCTCCCTGTTTCCAAATCTCCTGAAGTTTTTTGTGCTTCTGGGGTTAAGCACCCAGCCTTAACACCAGATATACCACATCTCCAGTCAATCTCTTCCCACCATGGTTCTCACCATGCATTCAGGTACCTCCAAAAACTACTTTATATTCCTGTTCTGAACATCCACTCCAGGCTTATGGCAGAAGTGAGCGGGAGGTGAGGATTCTTCTACCCACCAGACATTTATGAGGTTTCTTGGCCACGTGGATTTTCAAATGCACTTTAAGCGTTGAACTTTTCCGGAAGGTTTTCCCGCACTCGACACACTTGTAGGGCTTGGTTCCCGCGTGGATCCTCAGGTGGGCACGGAGGGCCGAGCTGTGCCGGAAGGTTTTCCCGCACTCCTCACACCTGTAGGGTCTGTGGCCACGGTGGATCCTCAGGTGCACGCTGAGAGCCGAGCTGCGGCGGAAGCTGTCCCCGCACTCGCCGCACATGTGGGGCCGCTCCTCGGCGTGCAGGCTCCGGTGCTGGCACAGAGCCGAGCGGTCGCTGCACCTGCGGCCACACTCCGTGCACTGGAAGGGGCTGGGCAGGAGGCACACGGGCAAGGCCTTTCCCCCATGGACCCGGCGGTGAGTGCTGAGTGCTGAGCTCTGGCTGAAGCCCTTCCCGCACACGGGGCACTTGTAGGGCCTCTCACCCGTGTGTGTCCGCATGTGGGTCACCAGCGAGGAGCTCTGCCGGAAGGTCTTGCCACACTCCGTGCACTTGTAGGGTTTCTCTCCCGTGTGAATCCTCTGATGCCGAATGATGGCTGAGCTGTCCCGGAAACGCTTCCCACACTCCTGGCACTTGTGGGGCTTCTCTCCGGTGTGGACCCTCCGATGGATGATGAGGGAGGAGCGGTCGCTGAAGCTTTTCTCACACCGCGGGCAATTAAAGGGTTTCTCACCCTTGTGGCTTCGCTGGTGGACAATGAGATGCGAGTTCTGGCTGAAGCTCTTCCCACACTCGTTGCACAGGTAGTGTCTCTCTCCCGTGTGGGTGCGCTGGTGCCTGATCACATTAGACCTCTGGCTGAAGGTTTTCTGGCACTCGCTGCACTGGTAAGGCTTCTCCCCCGTGTGGATCCGCTGGTGTTTGATCAGGTCTGAATTGCGGGTGAAACTCTTCCCGCATTCGGAGCAGCCAAAGGGTTTCTCTGCCAGGTGGATCCTCTGGTGCTGGCTCAGGTATGAGCTCCGGCTGAAGCTCTTCCCACACTCAGGACACCTGTAGGTTTTCTCCCCCACCTGCTGAATCCAAACAGCACCGTTCCCACACATGGGCAGGTCTGGCTCGTCACCAGCAAGGACAGCCTTGCTGATGTGGGCTCTTCCACTCTCCTTGCACTCCCAGACTTCCATCCCATAAGGATGTACCTCTCCCTGTCTCTTTGGAAAACATGTCTCCATCTCACTTTTTATTTCCAGCTCCTGCTTGTTGTCCTGTCTTTGATCAGCCTCCTGGAGGGAATCTCCTGTGAGCTTCCTGGAGGGGAAGAGATGGAGTTCAGCTCTCATTGAACTTTCTTGATGAAGCTCCTGATGAAGGCTGCCCTTCTGCGTGTCACCCATGGTCCTGTCACCTGCTGGAGTGAACAGAGGAACTAGCAATGAATAACTCCCTGCTTCTCTGAGGGGGAAGTCCAGACAGGGAGACCACCAAGACCTGCTGCACGTCAGCCACCATGAGCTGACAGCCCAGGAGACAGCCCAGGAGACAGCCCCTTGGTATCTTCTCAGGGCACAGTGTGGGCATGAAGACTGAGGTGAGTGGGAAGGAAATGTGACTCAAGGATGGGAGGCCACTGTGGCACAGTCTGCAAAGGGGATCCTCTGTCAAAGTTACAGCCCTATAGGGCAAGACCCATCACCTGCCTGCCTTCAAAGTTCCCATGTCTAGCAAGGTTAGAGGAACATCATGACTGTTTCCCTTAATAACTTCCACTGCAGCTGCTTCTCCTCCTGCTGCCTGTGAATCACTGCTCTTCAGCCAATATTCCCATACTTGATCATGGAAGAAATCAGCCAACACCACAGAAACATCCAACCCTACCCAGAAGACTATTTCCTTTCCTCCTTCCAGTCATAGCCCTCTTTCTTAAAAAGAAAGCTCTGCAGCAAACTGTATCTAGATTTTATCTACAGGACAGATAGACAACTGAGTGGAATGATAAACTGTTTTATTAACCTTTAGACTGAAACATATGGAGGCTCCTGGTTTTTCATGGGTTAAGACTCATTTGGAAGATTTTGGAAGACACCACTACACTGGTTATACCAATCCCCAAAGTTTTGCTTACAACACTCAGGGCTGAAAAACATTTGTGGTACAAACAAAGGTACTCAAAAGCACCTCAAAGCAGCAAACTGACCCAAATATTGTTAAATATTATCAGCATGAAAAGATGAAAAAGCCACACTTTGGTTTATGTCTTTTAACATTATGAATATATTCTTTGCTGAAAAATACACAAGATTGATTTCATTTTGGACAGGGTCTTTTTGAAAGAGTATTAAATACCCTAGGACTGTGTTTCATCTTTGCCATACTCTGCCTACACATCTTCCTGGAAGCAGAATCTATTTACTGAGGGAGCACAAGAGGCAGGGTAAGTGTGGAGTGTGCAGCATGGTACACTTCGAATTTTCAGCATTGAGCTCTTCCCTTCCCAGGCATGCTCCATGCAATATCTCACCTTGTGAGCAGTCTCTCTACTGCCTCAGTGTTAGGCTGCTTCTGGTCAAAAACCTGCTTCTCTTCACTTAGCCAAAAGGTTAAAGCCAAGCTGGGGACTGCAGGTCCTGATCAGAGGAAGGAAAACAGACATAATAAATACCTGTCATGGTAGCAGTGCTGTAGGGTAAGATTACAAGAGGATAAGTATTTAGGAGCTGAAAGTAACCTAGACCATAGGAAAATGATGCTCAGAAACATGAGTCAGGGTCACTCTCTGTCCTGCCGTGTGACACCACTGTTCAGGTCCAATAACCAGGGCCAGCTCAGGTAGCACACACAGGTCAACCACACGTCCAGAGAGCTGCCTGACAGCTCACTGCCTTCCCACAGGTGTCTGGATATTCTTCCTGCTGCACTTCCAGACCAAAAATGCCTCCTGACAGAGTTTTGTATAATAAAAGTATCAATTCCTCAAACCATTTTCTCTCCATCATCTTTCTTCCTAGCGTTTTCTGTCATGGTCTGGAGCCCTGTCTAGTGCTTTGTTGATCCAGTCTTAACGGATCAGCCAAGCATACACAGATCTGGGCAAGAGAGAAGATTTTGATCTGCTCACACATCAACAGTAGCAGCCCAAAGGCAGAATTTCCTGTCCTGTGCTCCAGAAGAATGTCCATTTGACTGCCTCCTTCCAGAGGGATTTTACAAAGCTGGCAGTGAGCAGGAAGAAAGAGTCACACACCTCTGTTCATGCACAAACGCTGCCTGGGGGAGGGGGCAGCAGGGAGGAAGCAGGAGCAGGATGGAGTGTCTGGAACGCAGGTGTCTGTGACATCAGTGGCAAAGCAGCAGAGGTGACACCTCCAGCAGTGCAGGTGGGCCCCAGGTGTCACAGGCACTGCTCCCAGTGCCATGATGGCCTTGTGGGCTTATCTGGCTTTGTCTGGTGAGTAGGAAATGTCTCTCCTCCAAACTCAGTTGTGAGGAAGGGCAGCTGACCCAGGTACTCTACACCCTCCCCATAGCTCCTCAGCTTGGGCAGCTTGGAGGCAAAAGGAAGGGATGGAGCACCCTCCAATGCCTCAGATGCAAAGATCCCAGGGCTCATAATTTTGGCAATTTTCACCACTGGAGTTGGTATTTTAGTCATCAAGGAGGACCACAGAGCAACCTATGAGCCAGGCATGAGTCAGAGCTGGATGCAGTGGGCACAGGCTGGAGCAGAGGTGCAGACTGGAGATGCCATGACAGGGACAGCTGGGTGCATTACACCAGACACAAGCACTAAGGCACACGTCTGGAGTTAACCCACAAAGTTAAGAGGGAAGAGTTGGCCCAGCAAGGAAAAAGGGGAAGCAGGAGAAAGAGATCTGAGACAGGACCTTGGTTAAAGACCTATTTAGCCAGAGGAAGAGAATTTCTAGAGGCTAAAAATCTTGGAAGGAAACAGTCTGCTTGCTCCAGCCCTGACAACAGAACAATATTCTGGGTTCCAGCCATGATTTCCAAGACATTTCTCCCAGTTCAATATTCGAATCTCTAGAGCTTTGGTGAAGGGCCCTCAGCCACGTCACTCCTTTCAACATGGGTGGAACAAGTTTTCCACAGGTGTGGACCTTCCATCTCTAGCTTGATAATGCATTTTCCATGTGCTGGATCCTGCATCCAGAAAAGGCAGCAGAGATCTGGATTCAGCCTTCTAACTCATCCAAACATGCCGTGGTTAGGACTTCCTTCTCCCTCTGACTTCCTGCACTCTGTTTTCCACCAGTGCTCTTGGGCATAGCCAGCCCTTGGGGCACAAAGGCACAGCAGCCAGGAACACCACTCTCTGACCAGGAATACCGTCAGTTCTTCAAGTTCCTGAGGATCACCATCCAAGCCAGCACTGCCTGCCGCCTTCGTGAGCTGTATGGCTGCAAGAACTCACTGGTCCAGAGACTGGATGAGTATGAAAACCACGGAGTCATCCCTCCAGGTAAAGCCAACCATGATTGCCAAGGGCAGGCAGTTGGACAGGAGTCCTGCATGGCCCTGAGCACTGGGAGAGGAAACACTCAGGATCTGGGGAGGAGAAGGGGTGGGAGAGAGGGGTGGGTAGCAATCCTGCAGTGAGGAGAAGGCATGTGCTCATGGGCACCCTCTGCCACATTTGACTGGATCCCCATGCATCCCTAGGAACAGCCTCCTCTCACCCCTTGGGTCATGAAGATGACCAAGAAGCAGTGGAGTTTCTCAAAAGGAGTTTTCATGAAGGGCTGTGATTCCACAGGGAGGTTATTGCTGAGGGGAATGCCAGCACTGGAGTCTGTCACTGGGTCTGTGTCTTTATTTGCCTCTTTGTAGGGCCCATATGCTCCGAACTGCCAGGAAATCCTTCCTTCCACAACTTCTGCACCTTTTCTCTTTATCGCTGTATTATGAAAAAGTATTTCCTTAAGGTGAGTTATTTAGCTATTTCCTGAAGATTATGGTGTGCTCTGGGCAATTAACAGGCAAAAGTGAGAGCCCTGAATATGAGTAAGTAGGAAAACAGAAAGCTAAAAGACAGGGAAGACAGAAGAGAGCCATGAGCAGCCCACCTTCCAGAGGCACTCACACCAAGCTGATGAGCTAACACAGATGGTATCTACTTGCCAAAAAAGAGACTTTGCAGAAGGCATTCTTCAAGAAAATGAACCTTTGAGGACCACCTCAGCCCTCTTCTCCAGCTCTCATTCCCAACCAAGTTGAGACAATCTAGGTTTCTCCAGAAGAAAGGGGAATTCATGTAGGATAGAAGAAGAGAGTAAAGAGAGCTGTGAGTCCCAAGAAAGATTTACAGGGAGACCTGACAAGGAAAGGATACAAAGGTTTCTTTTGCTTTCCTGGGCTCATCTTAGTAGGAAACAAGAAAGATGAGATTGTGCAGGGAGAGCTAAACCCACAGAACAGGGCTGTGCATAGGTGCCTGCTCCTAAGGCTCTCCAGAGGAACATTTTCTCCTCCACAGAGGACTGTATGCCCAGGAGACAGCACAGCCAAGCAGCACAGCCAAGAAGGTACCAGCATCATCATGAGCAGTGATGCCATGTCACCCAGCAGCTTCGATCCCCAGCCAGTGCCCCCCATGTCTCCCAGTGCTGGCTCTGGACCTGGCACAGAGGCAGCTGTGATCCCCACCTCCTTACCTGTGAGCACACAACCAAATCCTTCTGGCCCACACACCACAGAGGTGACAGCCAGTGACCAGCAGCAAGGCCAGCTGCCCAACAGTGACATTGAGGATCTCCTCCTGAGGATACTGGACAGCCAGGTGCAGACTTCACTGAAGACAATGAAGTTATTGCTGTCCCTTGGGGACACAGTGAAGGAGGAAGAGTTGAGGAGGGCTGCCACGAACCTGCTGGTGGCCCTGAACAATGCAAATGTGTCTCGGTCACCATCCAGCTGATAGAGCTCAACAGTGTGGTAAACACAGGGGAAAAGCCATCTCTTCCAAGTGCATGGGAAAGCAGAGCCACGGGAAATGCTATTGCTCAGGATTCAAAGAAAAAGATGGTATTCTCTTGGAAGTAAATGTATTGAAAAGATAACCATTCTCTCCTGTAAAAACTGTTTGCTCACCATTATTGGTGTTTGTTGTGTCATTCAAGGGATGTCATGTGAGAATGTTGGCTTTTCTTCATTAAATGCAGGCGCTCCTGCTCAAAAGCATGAAAAGAAGAACTTTCTTTGGAAACGTGTGTGTATATACATGCACAGATATACAAGGGGTGCTCTACAAGTGCAGGAAGGCTTTATTCTGCAAGGGAACTGCTGGTCCAGTGCTCTCCTTGTACTGGGGTTTGCAAATGGTTGATATCTACTTCTGAAATGTTGTTATGAAATGCACAGGATAAATATTCATACTGAGAGCCTCCTCTTGTCTCTCACAAAAAATCAGAGTCTGATTTATAGGAACTTTGGCTGAAGTGCTGCTTCTTTTCTAAGCACTGAACATGCCTGTAAGTAAAACTGTGTGAAGCCATCTGGAGTCTGCACTTGCTGCTAAAAGCAGAGTGGGAACTCCCCAAGAACCAGCTCTGGTTCTCTGAATCTCCACTCAGAAGAAGATGGTGTTACCTCAAACTCCATCTAAGCTCCAGTGGTTTTGGCTTTCAGGAGACCACTACTAAAGTGAGAATCCCTTATTTACCTTTCCTTCTGCAGACTTTCTTGTTATCTATTCCACCAAGGGCTATGAGGAGAAAGGGGTCAAAGGCAGCTCTCTCGATGCTGCACCACACCAAGCAACATCCCTGTGGAGACAGTCTGGGATGCTGGTTCCCTTTATATTGCTAAGTGACACAAACACAGCTGAGTGAAATACAGGCTCTGTGTCTATCCGTTGAAAGACAGACCTTGAAGAAGGTCTAGAAAGAAGATATCAATATCACAGGTCCTCCATTGTCCTAGAAAATGTAATCTTTCCCAAATTCTTAGGCAAGTCACACACGGGAAATGTGCAAGCCCTGGAACAGTCCCTAGCAGGGAGGATCGCAGAGTGCACGCTGGTCTCACTCCGGCACACCAGCTCATTGTCTTCTCCCTGGAAGGTGCCCAAAGCTGCCGGATCCCTTCCTGAGGCACCACGGCTTGTGCCCCCCTCCAGCTGCCTGGACAACGACAGCATCCCCAGCTCCAGCGGCGGGAGCACTTTGGCAGCAGCCTTTGCTTGCCAAGCCCACCCTCGGGGCTTGGCTGGCAGCCCACGCGTTTGGGTGCCAGATTTGGCAGCTATCAGCAGATCGCTGGACATTTCCCACTCGGCTGGCTCCGGCCAGGCCCTGCACGAAGCCCGGTGCCCTGGGCCATCCTCCTGCCGGGGCTGCGGGCCGGGAGAGCCGCTCCCGCACGGCCCCGCCTGGGCTCGGTCCCCGCCACCTGCCCAGCGGCCGGGCCCTACCGAGCTCCTTTCCCCGCTCCCCCGGCTCTGTAGCGCCGCTCCCAGCCCGTTTGCTCGCCTGGCGCTGCCCTGCTTTTGTCACGGAGAAGCCGCGGCCCCCGCGAACTCACCGGGAGCGGCGGAGCCGAAGGACGGTGCGCTCCTCTGCTCCGGTCTGGCAGCGCTCCGCCGCTCCGGTTCTGCCGAGCGTGGCCCGGGCGCGGCCCCAGCGCCGCCGGGGATGGGGATGGAAGCGGCGGT